GTAGCTGTGAAGGAAGGAGGGAAGGCTTTGAATGAATGATTTTTTCATTATTTTCTCTGTTTTTAAAACGGGACGCAACGCCATTAATTTAGAAACTGGTCGTGCGGACCTGGTTGTCTGAAGCATTTAAAGCCAAAACATTTATAATTTTAATTTATAAAAAAATGTAAGATAAACAAAAGCCAATAATATTTATGCCTCTACGAAAAGTGGATATATCTTTATAAACAGTAAAACATTTTTGCGGGATGGGCTTAGATTTTTTTAAATTTTAAATTTTAGCCGGCCTTTTTGTTTATATCTTATTTTGTTGACATTTGTTTTTCAAAACCAGTGTCTTTTTCATTAACATCAATCAAAGTGTCTACTGCCTAAATTTACCAGTCTAAATTTATATAGAAAAATAATTAAGTCAACCACTACCCTAACAAAATTTTTCGTCGTGTGTAGGTGGGCAGTTTCAATCCCAGTGTTTCTGTTTTGTTATGTCTCTTGCTGGTGAAGCATTGCAAGATTTTGAGTCACGGGTCATATAATTTGTATTTAATAGGCGACTAAGCTAATTGCATCAATATTTTGAATTACATTTTGGAAAGAAATAAATATTAAATGAAAAAACAACAAAAAAAATTTACATTTGAAAAACGATTGAAATAATTTATAATTTTCCGTAAAATGTTTCAATTAAAAGTTGGAAACGTCTTACAAATGGACTCACGAATTATCCTCATTCTTAAAACAGTTGCAGTAATTCGTCAATGTTGTAACTAACAACAGTCAAATATCCAACTTGTTATGTTAAACAATGTTTTTAAACCTAAAACATTTTAAAAAAGAAAAAGATATTCCTTAGACCTTATTTTGTTAACTATTCAAATTGATTTAATTTAAAAAAAAACTTTGAAATTTTAAACTTTGATTTATTTGTCCAAAATTTTTACATTATCAACAAAAACAAACTTGTTAACAAACATTTGAAGTTGTTAATACAAACCAGGAGGTAAAAAATACCAGAAAATAACAATTACCAGAAAATACAACCAGTTTTTAATGGTAATTCAGCTTGTAAACAATGATATGCATCCGTATGTAATGATATATTAAAAGCATTATCTTATTAAACACCTTATTGTGTTTACTTGAACCTGCTCTTTGGATGAAAAATTATTTTCCTCCCAAATGGAAAGTTGATGAATTGCATTCCTGTTTGTTTGTATTTGTGTTTGGAATATCTGTTTGTAGGTAGGCATATCGTATTTTTGTTTGTTTGTTAGTTAGCTTGATTGTTTGTTTGTAGGTATGTATTATGTCTGTATATCTGTATGTATGTGTGTGTGTGTATGTATGTATGTATGTTTTGTTTGTTTGTTCTTATGTTTGTTTTTATGTTTGTACTTTTCTGTATTTTTTTGTACTTTAGTAGGCATGTTAATATTTTGTCTGTGGGATTGATGTCTATTGCTTTAGCTCAAGCTGTTTTTCAACTAATTTATTTCAATTTGTATAATTTTTGGAGTTTTGTTTTTTGGTTAATTTTTCTTTTCAAATGTTTTCAAACATGAATTATCTAAAAAAAAAATAACTATAAATATTCAAAAAAAACATAATATCAACTGGTTTTTTAACGACAATTTTTATAAACAACAAACAAACGAACAAAAACAGACAAACAAACACAAGCAAGCAAATAGTCAGCCTAACTGACATTTCAAGCCACATACGGGCCAGCCGACATTTCGAACAACTACACACGTATCAAACCACTAGAATGAGTAACATGATTTATTTGCATGCTCTTCTGTCATGCGTTTAAGTCGAGGAAATTATTGGCAAAATGAAAGAACTGCTTGCGATCCGTCCCCACACCCACTCGCGCATGCATCTATTCATGCTCAATGCGCCGACTTATATGTAAATTATTCTATAGCCTTTGAACAATTTTATATTTTTTATTCCATTAATGTTAAATTTTATGAAGTTTTCAACTGAACTCCATGTATACATTCATCTTAATATGTTTTGTTTATTTAATTTTTTACCCATTTATCTAACCATCCATCCCTCCATACATCCAACTATATACCTATCTATCCATTCATCCATCCATTCGTACATTCATCCATCCATCATTACTTGAATTGTTCAATTTCACCATGACATGTAGATTTAATTAAGAAATAAAATATTATAAAAATACATCAATAAGATAGTAAAAGAATGATGCTCCGTTCATGTTAAATATTTCATTAAGTTGATCACCGCACCGTCTCCATTCAAACCATATCTCTCCTTTTAAATGCTTGCAAACATTCAAGTTCTCTGAGGCAACATTTTGGGCTTTGGGCTGGAGGGAATGATCAATATATGCTTAAGATGGCTGAAGTTTTTCTGCTTTTATCTGTCTGTCTGCCTGTTTGTGTACGTGTGTGTGAGTGTATGTAGTTCATTTGCTTTGAGTATATGTAACTGCTACACCGGTAATATATTTTTGTTAATATATATATATAATTTTTGTAATATATATATATATATATATTATATATATATAATTATATATATATATTTATATATATTATTAGCTAAAAAGCTAATATTTATATATTATTATTATTATTATCGTAAATTTAAAAAGCGCTTAAATAAAACCAAAATTTTTCAAAAGCACTATCCATAACAGTAAAATAATAAAACAAATGAAGGTTTAATGAAATCATTTCAAATAAATAGATATTATTTATGACGAAAATAGATGTGTTTTCAAATTCTTTTTAAAGCCAGAAATGCAATTATTGATGAAAATCACAGCATGTTCGGAGTTAGTTAACTTCCAATTTAACTTTTCGATATTTTTAACGGCTGATGGTAAATCATTTTTAAGTATCTTTAGTTCAAAACCAAAATTTTTGTTTATTTTATTCATGATAGAACAGAAAAGCTTTTTTCGGTATTCCTATACTATCATCTGTGTTCAAATTGATATGTTGTGGTTGTGTCTAGAGGCTCAAATATTTTTATACCGTGCCTTTTGATTGGTTCCTTAATTGTTTTTCTGTTCTGTCATGCATAAAATAAACAAACACATATATATATATAAACACACATATATATATAAACACACACACACATACACACACACACACACACACACACACACACACACACACACACACACACACACACACACATATATATATATATATATATATATATACATACAAATATATATATTTACAATATTCTATAAATTCTACCGAATGTTTGGCGTTATATATATATATATATATATATATATATATACACAAATATATATATTTACAATATTCTATAAATTCTACCGAATGTTTGGCGTTAATATGTTTGTAGTTCGTTTTTTCAATTTTTCTCACTAAAGTTTTTTGGTGAACGTTTAGTTTATTAAAATTCAAAATAAACTTATTTTCCGAACTCATGCTGCAAATAAGGCCACACACATATATATATATATATATATATATATATAATTATTTAATTATTGTATTTATATATATATATAATTATTTAATTATTGTATTTATTTTTATATGTGATTGTGTTTATATATGTGTGTGTATGTTCGTATGTCTGTTTGTTTATTTGAGATTTTTTGTGTGCCTCTGTTTGTTTATTTGTTTGATGGTCCAGCGTTTCGTGTTATGCTATGCTAAAGACCTTTCGTTTGACTGAGCGTTTGTGAATGGTCCTATGTGGTGTGCTGTTGTGGCATGGCACAATAGATGACCAAAAACGGCTCCTGACAGGTAATAAAAACGCAGTATCATCACTAACATTATAAAACTAAAATTTTACAATGAAAATTAAAGGAAATAAATTTAAAATAAATAGGTGACGTATAAGCATAGGAAACAAACACAACAAATCAAGGAAAAATAACCATTTAACAAGTTCTGCCACTAAATTTATAAATTTAAACTTATGTTTACCTGATAAAAATGCCACTTATAGTTAAATTTTTTCATAAATAAAAGGTGGCTGGTTTATTTCATGTGTGACTGAAATATCATAGTTATTGAAATAACAATTGAAACAATATGACCAGTGAAGCGATTTCATCAAAGTATTTTTTCAATCGAATTGAAAATCAATGTAAAAAGTTCTGGAAGTGATTTTGTAATTTCAATTTGTAAATTAAATTTGAAATTAATTTTAAACTTTCACCAAATAATAATAATAAATAATTCTATTCATAATGACAACCGCAGCACTCGGCAAGGACTTGAATGTTGACGCAAAACAGTGCATGAATTATGTAAGTAGACTTATTTGAAGCCACCTTATCTTTGCCATCTTAAACATTGCACAAGTTTTATTCCTTCTAATTTTTAAGGTACGCCTTCAAATTCGCTCACACCTTCATTCCTCTTACAAATTTTCTTTCATTCATTCTCCTTTCATTTTTTTTCTTTTTTTCTTATTTATTGTCTGCCCGTATACAATTACTTTGATTTTTTATTTGCAAACTTTTCAGGCAGAGTTTCACGTTTTTGCATATACTGTTGTTCTCATACTTTCAAAGTCTCAATAAAACATCATCAAGTTCCATTAAGCTTGAGTTTTGAGTCGTTGTAGTTTTGAATATTTGCACCAAACAGTGCATTCAAAAGCATTTGGATGCATTCAAATGCTTTTGAATGCAGAGTTGGTGAATTGTTTCATCCCGCTGTTAAAGTCATACACTACAACTTTTATGGGGTCTTGGCTCGTTAATGTCTGCCTAGTGTACGTGTAGATCTGTGTGTTTGTGTATTTGTGTGTGTGTGTACGTGTGTGTGTTTGTGTGTACGTGTGTTTATGTATTTGTATTACAGCGTTAACTTCATGCCCGAGTATTTTTCAACTTTGGTGTGATAGCATGCGCCTCTTCGAACGTTCACAATTTGGAGAGCAGACAGCAGAGCAGCAGCTCGCGTGCCCATGCGTTTCTATTTCTCGAGCTTCAGTTGGACATTCGATACCGCAGATGCTTATGAAGTAAATATTTTAACGCAATTTAATGATATAAGCCTTCATTTCCAACAAACGATCGACCAAATGGTTTGACAAAAGACTGAAGTGCTCTTTCTAGTGCTCCGATGTATTAAGTGTGACCGACACGAAGTAAACATGACGTTTCAAATCAAGGGAGTGAAGAACCGTACAGAAAGTAGGCCCGACAAAACTTTAAATATTACAATAACGTTGATGTGATGATGACATGAACACCGTCCTAATTTTAAACATGCCAGGATGACATCCAGCCAATGTGATCGTGCATGATGTTATACGGAGGATATGCCCAGCACTATTCCATCAATAATTATAAACCCGCCTGCTATCCCACTCACATGTGCCAGTTTATTCTTACCACATACATATACACAGAACAGCATATATATATATATATATATATATATATATATATATATATATATATATATATATATATATATATATATATATATATATATATATATATATATATATATATATATATATATATATATATATATATATATATATATATATATATATATATATATATATATATATATATATATAACATATGTTATTCTACATATATGATTCTCGGCAATATTTTTATCGTCTCTCAGCTAATCTGCAGAATCATACATGCCAGCGTAAACAATGTTGTGATCACCATCACCATCATCATTCTTATCATTATCATCACGACCATCATCATCACGACAATCATCATTACTACTACCATCATAATCATCATCACGATAGGAGCATTCAAGCCATGTTTCTATTTAATCGAAATAATTTGTTTGTTTTCTCATTGTTTGCGTGTGTTGTTCCATTCATCCAGCGAACTGCGCGTGTAGTGGTTGTTGTTGGTAATATTGCACTGTTGTTGTTGAATTGTAGTAGTAGTTGTTGTTAATGTTGCATTGTTGTTGTTGTTGTTGTTGTTGTTGAATTGTAGTAGTAGTAGTTGTTGTTGTTGTTAATGTTGCATCGCTGTTGTTGTTGTGTTGTGTTATGTTTATTGTTGCGTTGTTTTTGTTGTTAATGTTTAATTGTTGTTGTTGTTGATGTTGTTTTATGTTTGTTGTTGCGTTGTCGTTGTTGTTAATGTGCTGGTGAATGTTGATGTTGGTTGATGTTTTTCAAGTTGACGTTTTTGTTGTTGACGTATGTTGGTTGTTGTTGTTGTTGTTTGGGTGCTACTATGTTGCTGAGTTGTTGGTTTGCTTTTTATTTCACGCTCATTGTCTCTCAGTTGTCTCATTTCATTTCAATATTGCATCTAAGTGACAACGTTAATTATGAATTAATGCAACGTTAATTATGAATTAATCATGGTCTCCTAAATAATATCCTACTGGTCGAGAAACTAAATGAAATTTTGTGTGTGCTCGACCCAAACTGAGGCCATGCTTGTTTGATAAATAAATGCTACTCGCTATATAAGTTGCTGTTGTTTACTTTTGAACGTTTTGATTTCGTTTATCAACGCTTGTATTGTCTTGTTAATTTTGCTTTTTATTTCGCTGATTTATTTAAAAATGTTAAAGGTATTAAAAATATTTTATTTTAAATAATTAATTTCAAAATGGTTAATAAATGTTGTGTTTATGGCTGTAAATCTGGATATACGTCAGAAAATCGTTCGGAGTCTGAGATTAAGGAAAAACAGAAAATCACGTTTTATAAATTTCCAATTGATGACGAAGAATTAGCAAGAAAGTGGTTGAAAAATATCGCGAGAAAAGATTTTCATCCTTCGCAACATACCAGGGTTTGTTCGAAGCATTTTACTCCAGATGATTTCATCACATCATCTCAGGACAGCAAAATCGCTCGTCAACGCCGAAACAACAAGGATACGTTTTTGATAAGACTTAAACCCGATTCGGTTCCAACTATTTTTTCTAATCATTCAAAACATATGTTGTGTGAAAAAACTACATCAAGATCAGGTAATGCGCTTCGAAGCAGTAGGAATAATAAAGAAATGGAAAGACTCGGAGACTCGGAGAGTTGGAAAGAAATTTTATGGAAGAAGATTCAATCAAAGGTCTGAATCTTGAAGATATTAAAATGAAATTAGAGAAAGAAATAACTTTTTCTACTGAATTTATAATTAAATTCATAGACAACAACATGGTATTACTAATAGTAAAGGTTGATGAAGATCATCATTTATCTATTAGTTGTTCAATATTAGTGACACCTGAGTTACATTTGTTTGTAGAAATGTGTGAGGAAGCTATCCTGCAAAAAAATTATAATGATTTACTGCAAGGAAAGTTAACCAAATTTTCTCAATTGTTAAATATTGCTGCAAGATTCCAAGCCATCAGTGAATGTGACAGACCGCTATCGTGGGACATTATTCTCACAAATGGAATCAGTAAAATTGAAAAATGTTTAGACCTTATTGATGAAAGCTCTTTGAATAATGATGAAATAATTAAAATATCATTTTTAAAAAAAGAATTGCAATTAGTTTTAATTAAAAAGCACAAGCGATGCTACTCATCATATTTGATGAAACAGGCCTTTATTCTCATGTCAACTAGTACTGCAGGTTATCAGTGCCTGTATTCATCAAAATTGCTGTGCTTGCCATCATCAAAAACAATGATATTTTACTACACAAATTTCTCTCTGTTTCAAACCAGCAACAATTATTTGGTGATATTGTAAATAGATTTAATGACAATAATGACTTGGAGAATGAATTTCCAGAATTTTGCACCACAGGGCATGATCTCAAATAATTAATTTCAAATGTATTTTTCAACATTGTTGCAAATCATTTAATTAAATCAATTACAGAAAATGCAAATGAAAAAATGACTATTAATTATAAAAAAAGAAAACTTTGTAAATTACAGAACATTTGAATTTATTTTCATAATTATATTTTTTTTTTGCAATGAATACTGTTTTTATTTTTTAATAAATGTTTAAAATATTTATTGTTTTAACATTTTAATCGTTTGTTCAAAGTATTAAAATGTTTATGTGTTGCTGAATTAAAGGCGTTTCGTTGTTTACTTAATGTGTGTAATATAGAATGCATGGCCTCAGTTTAGGCATGTGTAAATTTCAGTTTCTCGTCTAGTATCTATTATTTAGGAGTCTATGAATTAATGCATACCGACAATGAATGAAATGAATCGATGGGTGATTTTCATTATTATTATTGTTGTTGTTGTTTATGACGATGTCGTTGTTATTATAATTATAAATATAATAATAATAATAATTATTGTAAATATAATAATAATTATTATTATAATAATAATAATAATAATTATTATTATTATAATTATTAATTATTATTAATAATAATATTTATTAATTATAAATTATTATTATTAAAAAAAATAATAATTATTATTATTATACACTCCTTTATTATTTATACACATGCACACACTTGTACGTATCAATCCAGAATGAATCCAGAGGTATGAGGAACTATATAAGCAGAATAAAATAACGAGAGGCCAGTCTGCAGTTAACGTTGTAACGAGTTTTATAGAAATTTCGTATTTTCATTTCATTTCTGATGCTATGGGGATGACTTGAAGAGGAAGCTGTTTGTTTGAGTTCGGTGTTTCTAGAATGTAAATGTTTGCATGACAGTGTAAAAGTAGGCAAGCAAGGTACAAACAAATGAACAAACAAGGTGCAAACAAATGAACAAACAAGGTGCAAACAAATGAACAAACAAGGTGCAAACGCATGAACCAGATGCAACTTCACACAAGTATTAGATTTTTTATAGTATATAAAGTATCGGCAAAGCTGGTGGATATTTTAAAAATAAATGTTATTTATTTCGCAATAACAAAAAATATCTGATAACTTCCCGATACATGCACGTACTAAACGTCAATGATAATGTTATTCAGCATAATGTATACGCTAGCCTCTGCACCTTCGAATGAATAATGGAATACATTTGGTTGAGCCACCACAAATCTGCTTATCGTCTGCAAAATGTTTGAAATGTTTTAGCGGATAGGCCGTGCAGGTGGGAACATCATGTCGCCCACAACTGGATGTCACATTTCATATCACTCACAACACACTGGTACTATTTCCATAACCAGTAGAATGTTAGAAAGGTTAAAGTTCATTAGACTCTTCTAAGACTTATAAGTATCAACACCACACAAACAACCTAAATGAATATTTGCTGAACGACGCATACCACACAATGCATGTGATAGGCGAGGATCCCCTCACATTTGAACTCGGTCAATGCAAAGCAGGACCAGGCGCCTTTAATCACTAGGCCATCACGCCACCTAAACCAGTGACGTTGGGACTATAAAATGTGACCTGTGCAAATGTTTCGTTCTTAATATTATAATAATATATTATAAATATAATATATTTATAATATATTATAAATATTTTTTACAAAAATTATAAAATTGTTTTAACAGATTTGAGATTTTAATTGAAATTTTGCATTTTAGTTTTTTTATTTTTACCTATTTTCAACTGACAATTTTGATTTATTATAAGCAAGCTTAAAAAATAGACAGTGAGAACAAAAATAGTTCTTTTAATATTTCATTTGATTTTTCATTGTTGCTCAAATTAAAGTGGTTATTTTATTACCATTTTACTACAGTTAATGCTGGGATATTTAATGAAAATATACAAAAATCATTTAAATTATCATTTTTAATATATTTCAAATTTTGTTAACAATGGCAACACATTTCAATCATATTGAAAATCGGAAAACTTTAATTGAATATTTTACATTTTTTTTATATATCCAGCCAGACTGACCGACCAGTTAACTAACCAACCAACCAACCAACCAACCAACCAACCAACCAACCAACCAACCAACCAACCAACCAACCAACCAACCAACCAACCAACCAACTAATCAGAAACTTACTCAAAAGACTCCATACTTAGTCTTCCATCATCTAGGACACTCAGACAGGCCGGCCAGAAATCCTCACAGAACAATTCCCTAGCAGCCTCCGAAGAAATATCGCTACTACAAACCCCAACACCAGCTCCACTGACGTTGCCGCCCACACCACTTGCAATGACGTCACTTCCGCCACCAATGCGACTGCAGATGCCCCCACAGGCCCCACCGCATCCGTAGTTGTCGGTGAAATTTGTTTTGCGACAGCAAATGTTTCCGTTGCAACTCAACGTTTTGTTGTTGGTGATATTATTGTTGTTATTGTTGCTGGTGGTGGTGGTAGAAAGTTTGCTTGCTACCTCGCTACCAGCGTTTCTTCCCCCGCCCGCCTGTTTGTTATCCGCGTCATCTTCCAATTCGGGGAATACGTTGATGTCGTCTGCTTCTGTTAATTTATATTTTGTATCTTTTTTTCGTTTTAAATTTTTCTTCTGCTTTTTTTTCGGACAGAATTTACTTTTTTCGTTAACACCCTCACTGTTTGTAGACGATGGCGACGATGAGGATGGCGATGAGATTGATGATGACGAGGGAGATGGGGGAACGTACAGGTTTGTGATTTTGCTGTTCAATTTGCTGCTGCTGCTACTGTTTTTGTTGTTTTTAGTGCAAGATTTTATGGGTGCACATGGCGAATCATTGAATGACCCTCTCTTGGATGTTGAAGTCGTCGATGTTTTTGTTACTTTTGCTGCTGCTGCCGAAGTAGTTGATGATGAAGTGTTGTTGATGTTGCTGGAAACATTTGAAAATTTGTTGTTTTCAGGAGCGAGGGCATCTGACGTGTTGTTGTTGTTGACGAGGGGACCAGCATTTGCGCTGATTGTCAGCTCGAGGTTCTGCAACTTGGTTTCCACTTTCTTTGCAATGATTTTATTCCTACGCAGTGTTGATGCTACGATGCCAGCCATGTCTCGGTAACTGCCGAAGGGCCTGTCTGTTAATTGGGTTTGTGAGTGTGCTACGTTAAAAAGGTAGTTTCAACACAAACACATTAATGATTCTTTGATTGTATGGGTTAACGCTCTTCACAATTATTCATTCATCACCACCCACATTTATACTTCTCGTAGCAAAATTTTAATCAACGCATTA